ACCTTCTCGTAATCCAAGGGCTGCAGGGCATACAGCTTCCCACTCTCCGAATGCACTGAGATGTAGCTCGACAGCGGCCATTGCTTCTCATCCAGCCAGTAGCTGACCAAGGCGTTCTCCGCCACATCTGGGTCCAAGGCAGACACTGTGAAGATGTGGGCACCTGGAGGATTGTTCTCCTTCACAAAAACAGTATAGGAGGGCTGTGCAAAAGTGGGTGCGTTGTCGTTCACATCACTGATTGGCACTACCAGACTGCTGCTGGCTGAGCCACCTGCTCCCGGTCCAGTGGCTCAGCCAGTACGAGTGAGTAGTAATTCTTGAAGGTGGATGTCAGCTTGAAGGGGAGCCCAGAAGGCCGTAGGGAGCAGGTCACTTGCCCATTGGCCCCAGAGTCCCTGTCTGAGATACTGATGAGGGCCACCACTGTCCCTGGTGGAGAGTTCTCAGGCACAGGCACTGACAGGGAGGATACTGTCATTTCTGGGGCATTATCATTCATGTCCAGTACTTCAATGTGAACCTTGCAATGTCCAGACAAGGGAAGGTTTCCTTTGTCTTCTGCCACAATTTGAAGATTATACAAATTAACATCCTCAAAATCCACTTTGCCAAACACTCTAAGTTCCCCAGTGTTGGAATTGATGCTAAACACCTTAGTGAAACTTGATGGTACATTATTACTAAAGAAATAGGAGATCTCTTTATTGATTCCTTCATCTAAATCAGTAGCATTCAGTTTAATAACCAACGTCCCATTGGCTGCATTTTCCAGCAGCTTTACCCTGTAAACTGACTGGTTAAAGACAGGAAGGTTGTCATTTGCATCCACCACATTGATCACCAGCTGGACTGTGCCCGAGAGCTGTGGCTTGCCTCCGTCAGTGGCTGTGAGCAATAAACGATGCAGAGGATCTTTTTCCCTGTCTAGTGGAGCTTTTAATACAAGTACTGGAGATTTACTCCGGTTCTCTTCACTTCCTGAATCCAGAATGAAGTAATCATTCGGGCTGAGTTTGTAGGTTATCAGGGCATTGGCATCTATGTCTGCATCAGAGGCACTAGGTAGTAAGAAACGATAACCTGGCAACCTAGATTCTGAAATGGCCAGAATCTGTTCATGTACTGAAAACACAGGAGCATTGTCATTTATGTCCTTGATCTCCACCTCCACATGGAAGACCCTCAGGGGTTTATCCACAATCACCTCCAGGTGAATGGCACAATCCATGTTCTCGGCACACAGCTCTTCCCTGTCTATCCTGGAATTAACAAACAGAATCCCATTCTGCACATTTACCTGAAAATGCTCTTCCTGTCCCTTGGAGACCATCCGGAACATCCGAGGCACCAGCTCACTCACCTCCAGCCCCAGGTCTTGGGCGATGCGGCCCACAAAGGTGCCGTGCTGGGATTCCTCAGGCACGGAATAATGGAGCTGGCCGCTCCCCACCTCCCAGGCTGTGTGGAGGAGAATCAGCTGCAGCAGCCGCTTTGCCCCATCATCCTTCTGCCAAGCAACCATGGCAAGCTCACACCCAAAGCCCCAACCGTCTTGGCTGTTCTTAGGACTCTCCTTCCCATCCACGCCGGTCTTTCCAAAATCAGTGGAATTATTTCCTGCTGTGTTGCATCCCTTGTGCGTTATATTCCTGTTGCAGATTAGACAGGCTGGCTTTTCAGTCCCTCCCAGGGAGGAGCTCCTTGTTTTCAGTCGTCCTTAAATATTCCCTTAGACAACAGTGACCCCTTGTGACGGAATTTTGAAATGGAGAAACAGTTTCAAATGGAATGGTTCTAAACCCATTTCTTTCCATTTGTTTTCATACTCCTACTTTGAGAGCACGGCATCCATGTGTCTCCCTTTCTGACAGTGGCATTTATTCCTTTTGTCTGCCTACAATGACCAAGAGTCTTGTAGCATGTGAAGGACTTACAAAATTTCATTTCAGC